AGCTTCCTATATAGTGGCAGCTATAGGCTCCTCTTTGGCCTTAGGCTCTTCTACACTTACTAATAACTTAGGTTACTCCATACCTACTAAGTATGGCATCCATCCTATTCGCTTAAGCTATAGGTTCACCTCATTAGGTGTACTATCCTAAATTATTATCTTGGCCTACTTCTACACGTTGCCCCACGCCTTATCTATATTCCTAATAACCTACGCCCACCCTGGCTCGCCATCCATAGGTTTAGGGGTGGGTTTAGGTTAGTAGATCTTAAAGTACTAGGAGCTAGTGTCTTAGGCTAATAACTACTAGTAATATATGCGCCTCTAAGCTTAATTACTATATAACTATATACTTGGCTTATTAGATTAATATGGATGGCCACCTTTACTCACTAGTAACTAGCTATAAGTATTTTACTAATAGTTCTTTATACTCTTTAAACTTCGGATAATCTGGTAACACTAGCCTAGGGCCAACTAGCATATTATCCCATCTATGTATACTAGTAGCTGGCTAATAGGTTTAATACTCTTACTTGGCACTTTTAGCTCACTAGTATACTAGATTATACCAGCCTAGCTATTGAGCTCCTCTACGACCAATTAGGCTTACTTACTATCTGCCTAGTAAACATGCTATATATGGCTCCTAGCGTGGCTAGGTAAAACGCTATACCTATATTCTTTATAAACTACTAATAAATATATAGGTAAATACTTAAAATGCTTATCTATAACACTACTCTTAGCTATACTAGTAACTTTAACGCTACTACTATAGCAGTTATAGGTTCTTAAAATGGGTTATAGGTTGCTTAATAGGTTATAGGCTCCTAGGCTATAGGCTCTTAGGTTCTAGGTTACTAAATATTATAGGATGGTTAACGGGTTACTCTACTGGCTACTATATAGGCTATAAGTCCTGGACTAGTCTACTAGCTATAATGTGGATGCACAATTCTATTAGTAATAGAATATAGATTTATATATCTATACCTACACGATTTATCATTTTAACCCTAGAATTAATATATAACGTAACGCATCGCTACTTATACTAGATACTAATCCCTATAGTAGAGTCGCCTCTAATGTCTAATTACTACCTCATTAACCTTACCCTAACCCTAACGCGTAACCCTAACACTTATAAGTACACTACTTCTTAGGCTATAAATTTCTTAGGACGTGCAGTTCCATGCACTAAATATTTAAATTAAATTTGGGGCGAATTAGTCCGCCGGAACCTATCACCATGTGAAGTTGGGCTTCTTCAACATATAGCCCCCCATGCTACAATATACGCGGGATAATCGTCTAGCGCGAATATTAGATCCCTAACAAATTTAGGATCCTATCAATACCTAGGGCTAGGTGTCCATACCGCCCTAGGTTAGGTGTCCATGCCGCCCTAGGTTAGGGCGATTATCCGGAAGCTCATTAAGAATTACATCATAGATAAGCGTACCATCATCTTATCCATATACCTTGAGATATTTAAGTACTCTCTAATCCTTTTATAGGGCGGTCATGGACGCTTAGAATAATCTTACTAATTAAGAAGTGTAAGTTCATCCTAAGATTGTCATCTCACGATTAACCAATCTAGGTTTTCTATAGCCCGTGCCGCTAACCCTGCTGGTAAACGTACCATTAGGATCATTACCAAGTGCGATGCGTTGCAGCCTAGAGACGAGCAAAGTGTTAGTGCAGACAGCAGTACATAAACGGAGCCAGACTAACATAAGGTAGGTCTTTCACATTGCCAAGAACGAGGTAGAGAGACTAAATCACGGTTGGTTCGTCGTAAAGAGTCGCTCAACCCAGGAGATAGTGGCAGGAGTTACCATTAAAGATCGGCACAGGCGCGAGAAGCAATTCTTTTCAACAAATGCCCCCTAGACAGAGTTAAAAAAGAATCGAATTAGAATCCATACGCTAAAGGCCTTCCTTGGAGGTCTCCTTTACGACCATATCAGCAATGAGTTCCTAGACGTGGTGAAAGACATCAAACAACTTTCGTTAAGCACACTAAAAGAGCTAGAGATACTAGGGCCATCCCATCAGATAACTGCCAATCAGAGACGTTTCCTAATGCGCCTAGCCAATGCCTATTAGTAAGATATTTCAAATGCTCTCAATAGCAACTACAAACCAGGTCTCAACAGAGATAACCCAATCAAACTCCATATGCATGTGCGCAAGCTTAGCAACAAGTTCGCAGATTGCATGGCACGTTCTAGACATACCAAAATTTTTCAAACCATGCAAGGAGACATTGACAAAGAATTTGCACACTCAGGTAGTAATAAGGGGGACATCTCCAAATGGATTCGAAACCTATACCACGAATCCCGTGGTGCCGAGCTACCTGGCACTATTAATCCGCGAGTTCTTGAGAACATGTTCCGTCAGCAATCCGAGCCCTGGAGAAACATCGCGACCGTCTACATTGAAAGAATCGGCACTGCTATCCAGAGATTCAATGAAGCTATCTTCGCAGAAAAGATCTCAGACGATGAGTTGAGAATGAAACTCATGGCCAAGCTATCTCATAGACATGGTCAAACACTCGACAAAGCCAGCCAGCAACTCATAATCATCTTGAACGATAAGAGAGGTGGGATCCTTCAAACGGTAAACCACTACTTCACTAACACGCTCTCTGCTATCCGTAAAGAGCGAGTTTTGGCAAGACTAGAGGATGCCGGTGTCAAAGACGGGTTCGCGGTCGATCTGACCCACATACTAAAAAGCATCCATCTCAGCAATGAAGATCAGGCTATCAATGACATTCATAATACACTAAAAGCCTATTACAAAGTGGCTTTGAAACGGTTCACAGACAACGTTGTTCTCTAGGTTACAGAACGTCTATATCTTGGCCCTAATAATCCAGTGAAAAGCCTGTCCTCTGAGATAATTGGCGATTTATAGGACGGCGAGTTGACCGATCTGGCAGGTGAGAACTTTGTTACCTCGAGCACCAGAAACGAACTCCTCAACAAGTATGAGCGATTCCAGAAAGCACTAGAAATTGCAAGACATACACTCATGTAATTAGCTATCCATTTAAGGATAGGGTGGAGAGAGTTTCGTCAACACGATTCAACATCATTATTAATCATTATAACTAGTTATAATATGATCCTTTACCGCGTTTGTCGATGAATTTTCCGATTCCTTATTAAGATTAAAAACTAGCCACGTAGCGCACGTAGTCGCAAAACGCAGCCAACTTAAACGGGGACGAATTTAGTAAGCCTAACTTAGAGTTGTTTTAGACTTGAAGCCACAAACAGCCGCAACGAGTCAACACATCATTCTGGGTCTTCTTGCGAATAAGGAATAGTTTCAAAATTAAACCTATACTCTGCGCCAATTACTACTTAAGGCAGGCTCACTGGGTGCATAGCCTCAGCAGCGCCTTAATTTAGTAAACAGTCGACACCTTCTAAGATCCATCACTCTTACCCTATAGCACGCTTTTTCTTTCTACATAGCGAAAAGATATCAAGGAAATTCGATAGAGGATTAAAGAGGTTTACATGCTTGGCTATAGTGCCCCTCATCTGCTTGTAAAATTAACAAATTTACTAATAAGCGATTCGGAATGGTTGGCTATACACTAAGCCAAGGCAGGTTCGCGCTTTGCACCTTACCTAACGTTGAGATCAAAAGGGTCTTGAGGCCCATACGCAATCCAGCCACGACCGTTCATCTAGCTAGATATGGTCAAGGGCCATTGTTGTTTCTTGAGTCCTCGTAGTTGGGTTCCAATTTCCATTTTTCAGGAAGATGGCTCTCAGCACCACACCATGTTATTGGTCATATAATTAGTAGCCTATGGTATTCTCGATCCTAAGCCGTTACTGGCCCACGAATGTGGCACGGCAAGTGAGATCCGGGATAAGCTTATCAAGGCGTACAACACTACATTAACGAGGCTAAATTCAGTTACGAGCCCCAAGGGCAAGGCGGTCACTAACACGTAGCATGCTTCCGTCGATACCACGACACACTATAGACAAACAGACAGCCTCATCACTATCTCTCTTCCCCGTGTTAGGGGAGTGGTGGACCGTCAACGTACCCCAAACATAAAGCCACAATGTTAGTCTTCTCGCCTCCATCATAATCTAGCTTCTATTACGTAGCTGCCCCAATAAGTGGTGCTACAAAAGGCAATTTAGAGTGCATGGGCGACTCCCGCGCTAGCAATCAGCAAGCGCAGCCGCGTTCTAAGGGGAACAAAAGAGGGTGCGGCATTATGGACCATATGGGATTATCAGGCAAGGGCTGTTCCGGCGTGCGGCCGTTCATGCTGTGGCCAACATAGCCATATTATTAAAGCAAGTAATTGAGCAGAACTCTCCTTTTTTATATTATAGGGCGACGCTGGCTATATATATATACGCATGAGCCCACTCCAGCCACACACGTGACCATCTCAGCCACAGTAATATTTAACACATGTAAGTAAAGCGACCGCACAAAGAATTTGCCCACGCGGGCGGATCGAGGTGTAGGGACACATTAGATCTAGGGACTAATAGACTATAGTCCCTACTCAGCCAGGTAGACGCCCTCAGGGAAGCACTACGCATGAGGAGGTGGCCTACACGGTAAATCTAGCCCACAGAGACACACGGGGTTCGACCTCCAATTTCAGCATTTTAAAATACGGAAGTGGGAAGTTGTGAATTGAAAATCCGAATACTAGTATTAAAAAGACTTGCAAAGCATATATATTCGTGGTAATATGGCAGGACTTAAGCTTACAGATTATGTCGTCCCAACAGCAATCACACATCTTAGTATCACGGAGTAGGTGGGCTGCCAATAATAATTATTAGAAACTATTTAAGACACTTCTCGCGAAATTAGCCAAGCTTTACTTGGAATACAATACCCAGGTATACTTACTGGCTTACCGAAACGGCCGGTTCAATGGATTCGTATCAACGGATATAGTGGGCCAGCCTTGGATGCCTCTAGACTAAGAAGCTCTTGTGAGTATCCTTCAGCAAGCGCTATTAAGCTAACGCCACTTAAGGGTAAATATTATCCCACCCTAGTAATTAAAACGCCAGGTGGGTGCTATTAAGGTTTATAAAAGTAATGGGTCTCACAGCGTAGTCCCGGCACCATTGGGAGGACGAAGCATGTTAACGCTACTGTAGGGAAGTGGGAAAGGGTAGACCAAGACGTCGCTATCATAGATTATAGTAGCTTCCAAATTGTAATGTTATAACCCTGTGTTGAGTGCTAGTATCACTATAATAGTTAATACAGCCAAGAGGATGCACGTTCATTTTATTTGTAGAGGTGCCAACAACAGAATTACTCAATTCAACGGTCAAGGGGGCCGACCTTTTACTAAGTACATTAGGTGGGGTTAATGAGGGTGCCAAGTCGTTCCCCGCCCAGCCGAACAACAGCCAGCGCATTAACTAGCTAGCGACGTTAGGTTTAGCGCACGCGTTCGGGCCCTTATCTGGCAGTAGTGCCTTGCGGGTGCATCTCATACAGCAAGGACTTCTCAGCTACAAGAGATCACCGAACACAGTAATTTCGCTAGAGGCATCGATTCATGCGGCCAGCTCTCCATTAAATTACAGGCAACGTATGTATGACCGAAATCATCAAAACATGTCAACACCTGCCAGGCCACTTGTTTCTACAAGCCTTAGATTACACTAAAACGTTTTATCGCGTAGCCTTTCATCCCCATTTCCACATCTTATGAAATTGACCAATCCGGTATAGCGGGCCCAGCGCGATAGAACTCGTCAATGAAAAGCTCAAGTGGCTAAATCTAATTACATTAACACTCCAAACATTATCAAAAATTGCGGGCGTGAACCTAGACGTGAACCTAAAACGTCTAATCAATCAACTATAGACCGGTTTCCCTCTCAACATTTACCACGTTTACACCCTTCGCAAAAGCGCCATTTATGAGGTAATCCTTCTTTTAGTTTATAGTACGCTGGCGCCATTCTTATACCTGCCCACTTCTTAAGCCTATATGCAACTCAATCGATGTACAACCCTTAATGCAGTGAAAAGTTGCCTAGATAGTCATAGTCCTTACACCTCTAATTATACACAACTACGCTATACCTATTACCAGCATATCCTCTTATCTCGATAGGAACCATCCTGCTAAACCAGAGTTCCATTTCGCAATCGTTATTGTTGCATATAAATTCACCCATAACGTGGGTAAGCTATTCCTAATAGACGTCATCATCATTTTCATAGTCGTGGTACCAGGTAGAGGATATTTCTGGAAAGACCACTTCTACAACGTTCTAATGTAGTCCTAGGAACATGAAAAACTCTTTCGTCTCTCAGGCAGGTTCAATCACATCTAAAGAGTCCTCTAGAGAGTCCCCTAAACATTCTCCATAAACTTAAAAATATCTCCTATGCCTTTCTAGGGCTTTATTACTGCCAAGAAAGCAACTACAAGTATGGCAGTAGAAGCCACTCTTATACACATACAAGTTCTATTAGTACTATTCAAGCGCTTTCTTACTACCGAAATAGCGATCACATGGGACACACGAGTTGTCCATCCCTTATACGATTACAGTATTCTGTCCATGCTAGTTCGAGGACAAGCGATAGAGAAAGATAGGCAGAATATGGCTATTAGCAATACCAAGTCTCCTATAGAATTAGATTGCCTTTATATTATGCATTCGAAAAATAGCACCCAGTCCAGGTATGCGGCAACATATGGCGGAGACAATATGCTCATAATTATAGGGAACCAGAGAAACGTGGAACACAACAAGCTTAAAGGGGAAATTAGTCCCCTACGCAAAACAATAGGACCCTCATCTTATCGTGAGCTCATTACCCCGCATAAGGGAATGAGCATTCTACAATCACAACAGTACAAGGAAGGCTATAGATCTTCATTCCTATACACCACTAAAGATACGAGAAAGATAGGTAATAGTAGACAGGTTAAGGCTATTAACGGTACGCGTGTGGAGACCGCAGACAAGGAGGGTCTACATCAAAGTTACAACCCACTCATGGCTGACTAGATCAACTCGGCAACAAGACCTCTAGAGCCAGACGTTGCTGGAGCCTCCTACCTCATATCCAATTTTAATACAACGAAAATTCAGACCACGCCCATACAAGAATCGAAAACATATTATATACAATTATTGGAATCTCAATTTCAGCTTGCTAATCTCCAGAAGCCAGAGAATGTTATCTTGGCATAGGTCAGGCATCCGCCTAGAAGTAGGGAGACTGATCCCGTGCCCACAGGCCCCGCGTGGACCCACTAACTAGATTAAGGCGCAGCCCCTCATCTTCACTATATTTTTTCTTTCCACTTACTTTCCACTTCTATAGCTTTTACCATGACAAAAGCACGTTCAACTGTAGGCTCTCAACCGAATTCTAGCGGTGCTAGCTACAAAACAACCAGCTCTACTACAAATAGTTAGGTAAGAGCGTCCCTCCTTCTATAGCATCATAAAGCGCTAACACGTGTGTTATATTAGGGTAATTATTACTACTCCCGCGACTATGGTACCGGCGCTTCTAATTAGAACTCCTACCACTACTTAAACAGCAATGGGTCATATTATTATAGCAACCCTAATGTGAGCCGTCTTTATTAGACCCAATGTTAGCTGCGCTAATGTGACTAGGGCTCAACTTATTACAACTCAGGAAACGGGCAGAGCAGGTATTCGTCTGGGAAATAGTAGACAGTCCATTATGTAGTAATTAAGCATCAACTACGTACCTTCATACCCAAGTCAATCGTGGTGCAGGCGAATACGTTAAGCTAAAGTACAACCTACTAGCTTAGTAGTCACGCTTTCTTGTCCCATGGCATGACTCGATGAGATACACTATTAAGACAACAGAGCTAAATGTCTAGGTACTTAGGGTTTCCATCAAGCTAACCGTGATTGCTCGACCGGGTTACTCTAGAAAAAGTGGAATATCGAGCCGCAAAAGGTCACGGCTTCACAGCTCAAAGGATTAGGCTATATAGGAATTATATGCCGCGACGATACTTATATATTATTAGCTTGTCTAATACTTTAA